AAAAATTTTTAAAGGAATTGACAATGTCAGGGCTTGCACTATCAGGTGGTAAACATTGATTCTAAGCGTATATCATCAAATATTGTTAAACGTATATGGCATCATCATAAGATACGATAGATAGGTACGATGAGCAAGCGGATAGTTAGCAGATAACAGTACTGGAGCAGAAATTAGGTTCTGCAAGAGGCTGTACAGTGGCTCACTAGCCTGTAATCCTAGCACTTTGGGGTGCCAAGGTGGGTAGAGTCATTGAGGTCAGGAGTTCGCAGGACCCAGTAGTCAAGTGACCGGTGGAAACCCCAGTCTGCTACTGGAAAATACAAACAATTAGCCGGGTCTAGTGTGTGATGCCTGTAGTCTCAGGCTAACTCAGGATGCGCTGAGGCAGGAGAATCCTTTATTATATAGACAACAGGACAGGGCAGAGGCTGCCAGTGAGCCGAGATCGCACCCACTGCACTCCAGCACCGGCGGTGACATGAGCAAAACTTGCTGTCTCAAAAAAAAAAACAAAACAAAACCGACGAGTCCACCTCCACTACACAGCCTGGGATGGTAATCGTGGCCTGGCATTTTATAAGCTTGGTGGCTCCACTTCAACATCAATATTTGTGGTGTTTATCCTTTGAAAACACCATTTCTGATGGCTGTGCACTGGTTCCTTAAAGGTGACACCAATGACTTATTTAGCTCACTAATCCCCTAAAGTTGATTCTTTTCCCAGAGCAAACTAATTATTAAATATGTTTTGGGCTGAGTGTGGTGGCTCACGGCCTGTAATCTGCACTTTGGAGACCCATGGCGGAGAATCACTTTGATCCTTGAGTTCAAGACCAAGCCAGGCAACATAGTTGAAACGCCCTGTCCTTACAAAAAAAAAATAATAAGCAAAAATTAGCTGGGGCATCGCGGTGGCATGGGCCTGTTCGTCCCAGCTTGGCTCAGGAGGCTGAGGTAAGGAGGGCTCCAATTGAGCCAGGGGAGGAAATGGGCTGCAGTGCGGCTGTGGCTGTGATCTTTCCACTGCACTCCAGACTGCGGGAGACAGAGCAAGACCATGTCTCTTTTTTTTTTTTTTTTTTGAAGAGCGGAGTCTGCTCTTGTGTCCCCAGGCTGGAGTGCAGCTGGCGCCAGATCTCGGCTCACGCAAGCTCCGCCCCCCCCCTGGGTCACGCATTCTCCTGCCTCAGCCTCCCGCGAGTAGCTGGGGACTACAGGTGCCCGCCACTACGCCCAGCTAATTATTTTTGTATTTTTAGTAGAGACGGGGTTTCACCATGGTTAGCCAGGATGGTCTCGAATCTCCTGACTCGTTGATTCGCCCGCCTTGGCCTCCTCAACCAGTGCTGGGATTACAGGCCTTGAGCCACCGCGCCCGGCCTCTTTTTTTTGTTTTGTTTTGAGACGGAGTTTTGCTCTTGTTTCCCAGGCTGGGAGTGGCAATGGCACGATCTTGGCTCACTGGCAACCTTGCCTCCAGGTTCAACGCATTTCCTACCTCAGTCTCCTGAGTAACTGGGATTACAGGTGCCACCACCACACCCAGCTAATTTTTTGTTTTTTAGTAAAGGACAGGGTTTCACTTACGTTGGCCAGGTTGGTGGTCTCGAACTCCCTGACCTCAGGCCGTCCACTCACCTTAGCTCCCAACAGTGCTTGGAATTACAGGCGTAAGCCACCGCGCCCAGACTGACCCTGTCTTAAAAAAAAAAAAAGAAGAAAAAAGAAAAAATATATAAATGTTTCCATGAACAACCTGCTATCTTGTAAAAAGTCTCTTTTTCTGATTATTTTTCTTAGGCTAGGACTCTACAAGTGGTGTCACTGGGGTCAAGGCAAAATATGTGCAAGATTTTTTTTTTTTTTTTTTTTTTTTTTTGAGATGGAGTTTCACTCTTGTCACCCCAGGCTGGAGTGCAATGGTGCCAATCTTGGCTCACTGCAACCTCTGGTCCTGGATTCAGCAATTCTCCGTGGCTCAGCTTCCGAGTAGCTGGCGATTACAGCGTCTGCCATCATGCCCGGTAATTTTGTTTATTTTTAGTAGGAGATGGGTTTCACCATGTTGGCCAGGCTGGGTCTCTAACTCCTGACTTCAGGTGATCCGCCCGCCTCGGCCTCCCAAAGTGCTGGGATTACAGGCGTGAGCCACCACATCGGCCCAAGATTCTTGATATAAAATTTGCAAATTGCTTTCCAGAAAGATGAACCAACACAGGAAGTTAGTGCTGGCTTTCCACCTTCACCAGCACAAGCACTATTTTTAGTTTTTTCACTTTGGCAATTTGTTAAGCTACTTCTGTGCCAGGTGCCAGTGCTAAGCATTATGTAATGTCATCCTTACCACCCCGGGAGGGGGCACACATTTCACCAAGGAGGAAACCAGCTAAGAGGCCTCTCCCGCAGCCAGTGTCACCTAGCCACAAGGCAGGGGAGTCACGATTCAATTCTGGACTTCTCCAACGCTAGCACCCAGATCAAGGTGTCAACGTGCTTGCTTGGCAGCCTGGGCAGTCTTTTATTTTATTTTTTTGAAATGGAGTCTTGCTCTGTCATCCAGGCTGGAAGGCAGTGATGTGATCTCGGCTGCAACATCTGCCTCCTGGGTTCAAGCGATTCTTCTGCCTCAGCCTCCCGAGTAGCTGAGATTACAGGCGCCCGCCACCACACCCGGCTAATTTTTTGTATTTTCAGTAGAGACGTAGTTTTACCATGTTGGCCAGGCTGATCTCGAACTCCTGACCTTAAGTGATCCACTCGCCTGGAGCTCCCAAAGTGCTGGGATTACAGGGGTGACCCACTGTGCCCAGTAGAGCCTGGGCAGTCTTGACTCGCCCATCTCTCCTCACTGCTTCCCTCTTGGTTTACACGGGAACGGGTTTTCTAATTGGCAGATTTGATGCTGTCACTCATGAGGTTCACACTCTTTTCCCCGTGCTCCCTACCCTTAAGGGATAAAGCCTACTCCTCAGCCCAGCGTTCCAAGTCCCCACCCTCCAGGCAGCCTGTTCACCCATAAGCGCCGACGTCCCCCGGGCCCCGGAAGCCACCCTGAGCTCCGGCCTGCCTCGCCGAGTCACTTTCGCGCCTCTAAGTCCTAGCTCTTCCGCGGCTAGTCCAGGCCGAGTTAGGCTCCTCGGCCGCAACCTGTCTGCCGCAGAGCCAGTCCAGAGCTTTGGAGCGGTGCTCGTCACATGACTGCAGTGATTTATGGACACGCAAGTTCTACTGCCCGAGCACCCTCAGTCAACGCGCTCCGCCTGCCCTGGTCTGCGCGCCGCCAGCGCCCCCGCGCGCCCTGCCGGCCCAACGTCGGCGCGGAAGGCTGGGCGAGGAGTCGCCGGGCTGTGACTCGCGCAAGGCAGGGAGCCACAGAGAAGGGAGACTGAACTGCTACTTAGTCCAGGAGAGGTGGCTCACCCCTGTAATCCCAGCACTTTGGGAGGCCAAGGCAGGCGGATCACTTGAGCTCAGGAGTTCGAGACTAGCCTGACCAACATGGTGAAGCCCCGTCTCTATTAAAAAATACAAAAATTAGCCGGGAGTGGTGGCCCGCGCCTGTAGTCTTAGGTATTCCGGAAGCTGAGGGCGGGGGGGACCACTTGAACCCCGGAGACGGAGGTTGCAGTGAGCCCAGATGGCGCCACTGTGCTTCAGCCTCCGCGACAGAGTGAGACTCCATCTCAAAAAAATAAAAAATAAATAAAAGAATTACTACTTAGTAGCCAAGGATTGTTACGGCGCGGGGACGGGGGATACGGTGGTTGTTAAAGGGGTCCTTGGGGGCAGGACCATTTTAGGTGCAGGATGAGGGAGCAGGGCTCTCTTTGTCTATCCAGGCTGGAAGGCAGTGATGTGATCTCGGCTGCAACATCTGCCTCCCGGGTTCAAGGAATTCTCCTGCCTCAGCCTCCCAAGTAGCTGGGACTACAGGCAGTCACCACCATGCCCGGCTAATTTTTTTTGTATTTTTAGTAGAGACGGGGTTTCACCACGTTGGCCAGGATGGTCTCAATCTCTTGACCTCGTGATCCGCCCGCCTCGGCCTCCCAAAGTGCTGGGATTACAGGCGTGGGCCACCACGCCCGGACGGTTTCAATCTCTTGACCTCGTGATCCGCCCGCCTCGGCCTCCCAAAGTGCTGGGATTACAGGCGTGGGCCACCACGCCCGGACTATTTATTTTTTTGACAGCTCTTGCTCTGTCGCTCAGGCTGGAGTGCAGTGGCGCGATCTCAGCTCACTGCGGCCTGTGCCTCCCGGGCTCAAGTGATCCTTTTGTCTTAGCCTTCGGAGTAGCTGGGACTACAGACGCCCGCCACCACGCCCGGCTAACGTTTGTATTTTTTGTAGAGAGGGATTTCACTGTGTTGCTCAGGCTGGTCTCGAACTCCTGGGCTCAATCGATCCTACAGCCTCGGCCTCCCAGAGTACTGAGATTACAGGCGGGAGCCACCGCGCCCAGCCCCTAGGGTTGTTTTTTGATAATTGGACTCGATCCTCCTCACCCACTCCTTCCTTAGCCAAATTTACTGAGAAAGGACTTTGAGGTGGACTCCCCCTCCACCCCTCCGTGGGCAAACTCCTGCCGGACTGTAAGACCTTGGCCGTCCTCTCGCCTGGCCTGGGTCCCTCGAAAGAATGTACATCCGCTAACTGCGCGCCCTCTCCCACCGCAGCCCCGCGCGGGGCCCCAGGATCGCAGGACCGCGGCGGCCGCAGGGAGGTCGGTTGGGAACAGGTCCTTCTGGAAGTCCCCCTCGATGCCCCCGCGGGATGGCTGACCCTTCCGGGCGGCAGACGGACCTTGGTCTTCCAGCCTTCCCTTCGCGATGCGGAGGACGCGGTTCGGAAGGTGTGCGCCGCCCAGGACCCCCTGGCACCTGCTCGCGCTCCGCAGCCGGCCCCGCAGCGTGACTGGTGCACTGGGCGGGCTCGGGTGGCGCGGCTCGTGGCGCCTGGACCTCCCGTCCCCCAGAGGGCGCTGCCCTTGCCGGCCCCGCCCATATTTGGGCCTTACGAGCCCACAGGCCCCGGAGAAGCCGCGGGGAGGCCGGGAGCCCGCGGGCCGGAGCCGCCCGGCCGGAGTGTGGGCGCTGGGCGGCCGGCCCACCCGTGGGGGCGACTTGAGCGTTGAGGGCGCGCGGGGAGGCGAGGTGCGGGGCTGGGGGCGGCGGGATCGTGGGGATCCGCGCGCGAGCTGGCTGTGTCTGCGGAGGAGGGGGCTGGCGGGGTGGGAGCGGGTGGAGTGGGGCTCGAGGAGGTGGCGATGGTGGGGAGAAGCCGTCCCACGGGGCTCAGGACCACGGTGATGGGGTTGGACGGGTGCCGATGTTATTGACTCCCGGGGCCGGGAGAGGGTTGCGGTATTGAAAAGGGGGTGTGAGTGGGGAAGTGATGGGCGCAGAGAGAGGCTGAGGCTGAGTGTGGGAGGATGGAGCCGCCAGAAATGGAGAGAGGGAGGGATTTGAAGGAGGGGCTGTTGGCAGTGTCTGGGGGGCATTGGCAGTAGGGTGGTTGAATCTTGCCCCTGGCAGGATTGGAGGTAACTTGGAAGGATGGGCTAAGCGAGTGTGGCAGGCTCTTGGCAGGACTGGGAGTGCAGCTGTGAAAGCTCCTCGCGGGCCGTGGCTTGGGAGAGTAGCCGTGGATGGAAGGGGAGCAGGCCTGACCCATAGTGGGGACCCCTGGCCTTACTCTGCTTTCTGCCCCTAGCCATCATGTTCAACCAGCAGCAGCAGCAGCAGCTCCAGCAGTTACAGCAGCAGCAGCTCCAGCAGCAGCAATTGCAGCAGCAGCAGTTACTGCAGCTCCAGCAGCTGCTCCAGCAGTCCCCACCACAGGCCCCGTTGCCCATGACTGTGAGCCGGTGAGTTCCGCCTCCGGGGGCGATGGCTTCAGCCTTGCCACTCAGACCCATGTCTCGGAGGTCCCGATCCCCATCCTTTTTCCCAGTGCCATCTCCATTTGAGTCCTGGAGATCACCCGTTCCAACCCCAAGGGGTCCTCTGTCTACCACAGAGTGGGGCGGAGAATGGAGGTGAGAAGTCTCGGGGAAGAAGGAAAGTCTGACTTTCCAAATAACCCTCTGACACCCCCTCCCAACACACAGGGGCCTCCCCGCACAGCAGCCACAGCAGCCGCTTCTGAATCTCCAGGGCACCAACTCAGCCTCCCTCCTCAACGGCTCCATGCTGCAGAGAGCTTTGCTTTTACAGCAGTTGCAAGGTATGGATGGCCCCAGGCCTCTTCTCAGTCTCTTTTAGTGTAGCTCCCTAGCAGCCCGTTGCGCTCAGTTTCAACTCCACACAGCAACCCTCAGAGGGAGCTATTCTTGGCATCCTTAGTTCACTCATGAGGACACTGAGGCTCCAGGAGGTGAAAGTCCCTAAGCTGCTAATTTGAATGCAGATCTGTCTGATCACAGAGGTGTGTCCTTGGCGGCGGTGCTGGCTCTTTGGGTGGTACTCAGCACACTTCACTCACATTCAGATTAGATGCCATTTGACAGATGAGGAAGCTGAGAAGGGAAATCATTTGGCCCTGCATCAGCAGTGGCTAAGCTGGGCGACGCCCTGGGCATCTTGACCATCCAGATATCTGAGTGGTTGTCTCTAGCCCTGTGCATTAAGCCTGTGGCTTTGTCTCAATTTCCCAATATGGAGAGCAGTCTCAGCTTCTTCCTTGCAAGATGCTGTCCTTTTTTTTTTTTTTTTTTTTTTGGAACAGAGTTTTGCTCTGTCACCAGGGCTGGAGTGCAATGGTGTGATCTGGTCGGCTCACTGCCAACCCTCCGCCTCCTGCATCCGGCGTCAAAGCAATTTCTCCTGCTTTAAGCCTCCGAGTAGCTGGGATTCCAGGGGCTGCCCCACGACGTTACACGCCATAATAATTTTTTTTTTTTTTTGGAGACGGGAGTCTTTGGCTTCTGTTCACCGCAGGCTGGGAGTGCAAGGTGGCTGTGATCTCAGCTCACTGCAAGCTCCGCCTCCTGGCGTGTCACCCATTCTCCTGCCTCAGCCTCCCGAGTAAGCTGCGACTGCAGGCGCGCCGCCACCTCGCCCCGGCTAGTTTCGTTGATATTTTTTAGTAGAGATGGGGTTTCCACCGTGTTTGCCGAGCGATGGTCTGGATATCCTGACTTGTTGATCGCCGTCTTCGGCCTCCCACAGTGCTGGGATTTACAGCGCGTGACCACCGTGCCCGGCCAATTTTTGTATTTTTTAATAGAGATGGGGTTTCTCCATGTTGCCGGCTTAGTCTTGAACTCTCGACTCAGGTGATCCACCCGCCTTGGCCTCCCAACAGTGCTGGGATTATAGTTGTGAGCCACTGTGCCCAGCCAAGATGATGCTCCTGATTCTACTGATAACCCCCTAAAGAGAGGTACAACCACAATCCCATTTTACAGACAAAGAAACTGAGGCCCGGGGGGGTCATGTGCCCAAGATTACATAACAAGTCGGTATTGATTAGATGGTGGTCACTCTGTGGACCTGTCAGGGCCACATGGGTGTGGACAGTCCTGGGAACTGACTTAAAAATGATAAGCAGGTAAGTAGGGAGAGAACCACACACAGGGACCTGCCACATATACATATACATTTTCCTTTTCTTCTTTCCCATTTAAAAAATTACAGTCTTCGGCCATGGGCTGTGGGCTCTGCCTTGTAAATTCCTGCACTTTTGGGAGGCCCAAGGCGGAGAGGATGACATGAGTCTAGGGAGTTTGAGAACAGCTTTGGGCAACATAGTGAAAATCTGGTCTTATTAAAAATACAAAAATTACGGCCAGGCGCAGTCGGTGCCTCGTAATCCCAGCAAACTTTGGCAGGCCGAGGTGGGCGAGATCACCGAGGTCAGAAGATCGAGACCATCCTGCGCTCCATGGGACACCTCGTGCCTCTAAGCTAAAATAACCAACCAAAATTACTGAGTGGTGATGGTCGTGCGCTGTAAGTCCCAGCTACTCGGGAGGCTTGAGGCACGAGAATTTGCTTGAACCCACGGAGGTGGGGTTTTGTGTTGAGCCGAGATCGATGCTCTAGCCCAGTGACACAGGCAAGACCCTGTCTGCAGAAAAGCAAAAAAGAAAAACTACAAAATTAGCGTGGGTGTGTGTGGCCATGGATCGTGTAATCCCAGCTTAGCTCAGGAAGGCTGAGGGGCATGAGAAGTCTGTTGAACCCAGGAGGCGGAGGTTGCAGTGAGCCAAAATTGCGTCACTGCATTCCAAGCCTGGGTGAACAGAGCAAACGACCCTGTCTCAAAAAAAGAAAAAAAAATAAAAAAAATCACACTCTTGACCAGGTGGCAGTGGCACATGCCTGTAATGCCAACTCTTTGGGAGGCAACAGGCAGGAGGTTTGTTTGGAGGCCAGGAGTTCCAGATCAGACTGGGCAACATAGCAAGACCCTTTCTCAAAAACAAAAGAATAAAAATCACACTCTTTAAAGTGGGAAAAAGGTTAAAAATGGAGATAGGAAAACCCGCAGTGTCATCTGTTGACTCACTCACCACCTGAAGAAACCCACTAGTCAGCATATTTGTCTGTTTCATCCCATTTTTCTTCTAGGCACAGACGTGGGGATTTGTATCTGATGATGGTGATTGATATAAGTCCCAGGCTGTACCTTGTTTCTTTTTCACTGAAGTAGAATGGCATGATCATTTCCATAGGATTTCATCATCTGTGTTAAGATTATTTTAATAACTGTTTAATATTGCACCAGAGGGCTATGCTTTGTTTATCTAAACCTTCTTAGCTGTTTGGCTCTTTCCTTTTTTTTTTTTTTTTTTTGCTTTTTTCTTTCTTTTGCTTTTTTTATTTTTTGTTTGTTTTGTTTTGGGGTTAGTTTTTTTTTTTTGCTGTTTTAAGTAACCCTGGGATGAATATGATGTTTGAGAGTGTTTTCTCACTGAGTGAGGGGGGATGGATGTTTTATGGCTCTTGATAAGTATTGCCAAATTGCTTTCCTAAAGGACTGGACCAGTTTGCAATGCCACCAGCCACGTATGACACTGCCGGTCTCACCATGCCCACGGCAACACTGGGTATTATATGCTTTTTATATATATATATATAAACGTATATATACATATAATTAAGTTGGTTGGCAAAAAGAAGCTATGTCATGAATGTTTTAATTGACATTTCTTGGAGTGCTAGTGCAGTTAAACATTTTATATTTGTCTGTTGAACATTTTATTTCTTTTTGTGACTTGTCCATGTCCTTTGTTCATTTTTCTTTTAGGTTGTTTCATCTTTTGTCTTACTGTTTTTAAGAGCTGATTGGCTCTCTGCATATATGTATATATGTATTTGTTTCAAGTTAATGTTAATTGAACATTTACTATGTACCAGGCACATTTGTATATTTCACTGAATCCTCATAAAACATTGTGAGGCAGGTGCAATTATTATCCCCATTTTACAGATCAGGGAAATCAGGCTAAGCAGGGGGAACTGATTTGTTCAAGGTCACAGAGCTCGTACTGTAGAGTCTGGATTTGAACCCGGCACTCACAACACAGCTGACCTATGCTTTAAGCTTTAACCACTGTGCTTCCCATCCCAGCACTGGGGCAAGAGTTCCAACTGCCTTTCATCCCTTAAATACTTCCCAAGCTCTGGGCCTCCCCTGAGGTGCAGAGCTGAGTTAGATGATGTGAAGCAGAAAGCAGACAAGGAGTTGGATGTGGTGACTCACATCTGTAATCCCAGCACTTTGGGAGGCCGAGGTGGGCGGATCACCGTGAGGTCAGGAGTTTGAGACCAGCCAGCCAACATGGTGAAATCCTGTCTCTACTAAAAATCCAAAAATTAGCCAGGCATGGTGGTGGGTGTCTATAGTCCCAGCTACTTGGGAGGCTGAGGCAGGAGAATCACATGAACCTGGGAGGTGGAGGTTGCAGTGAGTCAAGATCGCACCACTGCACTCCAGACTGGACAATAGAGCAAGAATCCCTCTCAAAAACAAAACAAAACAAAACAAAAAAAGCAGACAAGGAAAGTATGTAGCTCGTCCTAGAACTGGAAGCTGGGGCCTTTGGGGACACAGTCTGTGAAGGTCTCTTGGAGGAGAGACACCTATAGGGAGGTCTGAAGGGTGAATGGGAGTCAGCGGGTATAACAGCCCAGGCAGAGGGAACAGCACATTCAAAGGCCCTGAGGCAGGATGTCTGAAGGACTGCACAGGGACATGTGACTGGAATATAGTGGGGACATGTGGGGAGAATGTCAAGAAAGGAGACTGGAAAGGTGGGAAGGGCCAGACCATGCAGTGAGGAATGGGCTTTGCTGCCCAGCAGCAGGGAGCTACGGAAGTGTTTGGGCAGAAGGGAGAGATGAACTTAGAATATGGTTTGAGAAAGATGACTGTTTGCCGCCATCCTGTGCAAAAGCTGTGGCTGGAATTCAAGCAAAGGATCAAGCGGTTTTGGGAGGAGGCAGGGAGTGGGAGTGGGGATGGAGCAGGAAAGTCAGATTGGGAAGAGGCATAGGAGACAGAGTTGATAGGATCTGGGGATGGCTTGCATGGGATAGGGCAGAGAGAGGGAGGAATGAGGAAGACCCCAGAATCCTGGCTGGGGCAGTAGGTGGATGGCGGTGCCCCTCATAGAGACCCTGGGCAAGCTGCACCTCCACTCTGTCTCTGTTTTGTCATCGGGAGAAGTAACACCCACCCTGATACCTGCTGGGCCGAGGGACTGAGGCAGTGTGAGGAACGGGCTTAGCACAGTGCCTGGCTCATAGTTGCTGCTGATAAAGGGTAGCCGGTGGGGGTAGGGGTGGTGTCCTATTATCCCAGGGACCAGCTCTCCTGCTGGTTCTCCTTATGGGCTGTGCTAAGTCTCTCATCTATAGAGTCTATGGCAGACTCTAAAGCATGCCTGAGGGTGAGCAGGGTTTTGGAGAATGCTAAAGGCAGCACCCCCACCCCTAGCTGGGGCAGAAAAAAGCCCTAAATCCTCCTTCACCACCAGTGCCCAAGGTGAGACTGAGCCTCAGCTCTAGTCTCTTCCCTTCAGCTGCCCTTGGGTGGGAAGGTCCCTTTCAATTATCTGGGATGTTCCCATGATGCTCTGGGGCACTGACGCCTGACCCTACCTTCTGCTACCTGACCAGTGTGACCCCTCTTCTCCTCACTTCTTGCCTGCAGGTAACCTCCGAGGCTACGGCATGGCATCCCCAGGCCTCGCAGCCCCCAGCCTGACAACCCCCAGCCTCACACCCCCCCAACTGGCCACTCCAAATTTGCAACAGTTCTTTCCCCAGGCCACTCGCCAGTCCTTGCTGGGACCTCCTCCTGTTGGGGTCCCCATGAACCCCTCCCAGTTCAACCTTTCAGGACGGAACCCCCAGAAACAGGCCCGGACCTCCTCCTCTACCACCCCTAATCGAAAGGTGAGTGATGGCTGGGGTGGGTCAGGTGGGGATGGGAGTGGGCGGGAGGGGACCCTGGGTGTCAGCCCCAGTGCCACCCGCTCTGGCTCAGCCTGGGCCTTCGAACAGGTCACACCCCCTTTATGCCTCAGTTTCCTCTCTCTGGCTCAGCCTGGGCCTTTGAACAGGTCACACTCCCTTTATGCCTCAGTTTCCTCATCTGTAAAATGAGGGGGCAGGAATGGACTTGTTTAGTGTTTCCCAAACTTCAAAGATTCTTGTGTCACTGAAGGGATTTTTGCCATGCACAAATGCTACCATTTACTTAATGTTTCTCTTTTTGAGATAAAGTTTCGCTCTTGTTGCCCAGGCTGAAGTACAATGGTGGGATCTTGGCTCACTGAAACCTCCATTTCCCGGGTTCAAGCGATTCTCCTGCCTCAGCCTCCCGAGTAGCTGGGATTACAGGCATGTGCCACCCGAGTAGCTGGGATTACAGGCATGTGCCACCCGAGTAGCTGGGATTACAGGCATGCGCCACCACGCCCGGCTAATTTTGTGTTTTTAGTAGAGATGGGGTTTCTCCATGTTGGTCAGGCTGGTCTCAAACTCCTGACCTCAGGTGATCCTCCCACCTCAGCCTCCCGAAGTGCTGGGATTACAGGCGTGAGCCACTGTGCCCAGCTTAATGTTTCTTTTAAAATTATCAGTGTGGCTGGGACTGGGGTCTCATGCCTATAATCCCAGCACTCTAGGAGGACGTGGTGGGTGGATCACCTGAGGTCAGAGGTTTGAAACCAGCCTGGCTAATATGGCGAAACCCCTTCTATACTAAAAATACAAAAATGTCGCCGGGCATGGTGGTGCACGCCTGTAATCCTGACTACTCAGGAGGCGGAGGCAGAAGAATTGCTTGAACCCAGGAGGCGGAGGTTGCAGTGAGCCAAGATTGCACCACTGCACTCCAGCCTGGTGAACAAGAGTGAAACTCTGTCTCAAAAAATTAATAATTAGCCGGGTGCGGTGGCTCAAGCCTGTAATCCCAGCACTTTGGGAGGCGGAGACGGGCGGATCATGAGGTCAGGAGTTCGAGACCATCCTGGCTAACACGGTGAAACCCCGTCTCTACTAAAAAATACAAAAAACTAGCCGGGGCTACTCGGGAGGCTGAGGCAGGAGAATGGCGTAAACCCGGGAGGCGGAGCTTGCAGTGAGCTGAGATCCGGCCACTGCACTCCAGCCTGGGCGACAGAGCGAGACTCTGTCTCAAAAAAAAAAAAAAAAATTAATAATTAAAAATAAAATTATTGGGGCATGATGGTGCATGCCTGTAATGCCAGGGACTTGGGAGGCTGAGGTGGGAGGTTTGCTTGAGGCCAGGAGTTAGAGGCTGCAGTGAATTACGATCATATTGCTGTACTCCAACCTGGGTGACAAAGTGAGACCCTGTCTCAAAAGAAAAAAAAATAATAATAATAATTCAGCACTGCTCAGTAGAAATAAAATACAAGCCATATATGTAATTTAAAATTTTCTGGTATCCACCTTATAAAGTAAAAAGAAATGGGCTAAATTAATATTACTAACTTATTTAACCCAATCCCATGTGAAACTATTATTTCGACCTGTCATCAATATAAAAAATAAGACTTTTTACATTCCTTTTTTAAAAACTACGAAATCTTCACAATCTGGTGTGTTTCTGATACTGACCTCTCAATTCAGCCCGGCCAGTTTCAACTGTTCTCCCGAGGCTGTGGGGCGACTGTGTGGGAGAGCATGGCTTTGAAACGAGTGAACTTCCTTTCTGTTACATTTGTTTTGAAAGGAAACATATCCTAACCTGACATTCTAAAAACTATCTAAGTTAATTGCCATTCACAGAAGTATAAGAAATTGCTGGGTGCAGTGGCTCACGCCTGTAATCCCAACACTTTGGGAGGCTGAGGAGGGCAGATCGTTTGAGGTCAGGAGTTCGAGACCAGCCTGGCCAACATGGTGAAACCCCGTCTCTACTAAAAACACAAAAATTAGCTGGGCCCTAGTGGCGGGTGCCTGTAATCCCATCTACTCAGGAAGGCTGAGGTAGGAGAATCGCTTGAACCTGGAAGACAGAGGCTACAGTCAGCCGAGATCATGCACTGCAGCCTGGGCAACAGAGTGAGACTCCGTCTCAGACAAACAAAGAAACAAACAAACAATAGGAAATGTAACTGGGGTAGAACAATGCTATAAAATCCTAAGCTATGTGCTGTTGCCGGGGCTATAGTTTCCAGCCCGCAGCCCCCTGGCTCCTTGTGTGTTTGAGAGGTGTTTACCTTTTTCCTGGCATAAGCAGGAGATCTGCAAAGGGCTCACCTCCTCCCTAGACTGTCCTGTCCCTGAAGGTACCCGCAGCTCCTCCAGCGAGGGGCCCCGCCTCCAACCTTCCAACGGGCCTGTTATCACAGATCTGGTCTAGTGTCTAACCTGTCCTGCCCTCATTTTTTCACGTATGGAAAAACCCAGGCTCAGAGATTGGGGTGGGGTTGGTCCTGAGTCTCACAGCTGTCGAGGTGGACCCAGAGCCCAGGCCTCCTGACTCTCAGGCTGGTGCCTGTGTCGTGCAGGGTGACAGCTGGGTAGTTTCTGAAGGGCAGAATCCTGATATGTCCAGATTGTCATTCCCTGCTCAGTGCTCATTCCTTGGGCTTAGCAGGAGGGAGGGAAGGAGGGAGGGAGGGAGGCTGCAGGCTTCTGGTGGCCTCCTGGGGTGCCCTGGAACTGGCCAGAGAGAGCTGTGTGTTCATTCAGCAGACATCTGGAAGTCCCTGCAGGGGACTCCCTGGTGCAGATGACGTATCTGGCCTGGCCCTCCCTGAGGTCTTGGACAGGAATGGGGAGGGCGGTGAGAGATATTAATGCAAATAATGCTCCAACCAATTAATTAAGACCGTGGAGGCCGGGTGTGACGACTCGTGCCTGTAATCCCAGCACTATGGAAGGCCGAGGCAGGAGGATCACTTGAGCCCAGGAGTTCGAGACTAGCCTGGGAAACACAGTGAGACCCTGGCTCTATGAAGGAAGAAGAAGAAAAAAAAGAATACAGAAATGCCACGAAAAGGAAGTGGGTTCTGAACCCATTCTGGAGTCAGGAGGGCTTCCTGCGAGAGGCTCTAAGTGAAAGCAGGGGGTCAGGGACGGGCCTGGGGCTTGACCAGAGAGAAGGCCAAGGGAGATAAGCAGAGAGGGCTGGTTGCCGGGGCGTGGCCGGGGCAGGGAGTGTGCAGAGGCCAGGTTGTGCAGGGAAGGGGTGGGTGTGCAGAGGGTTTTCAGGCTTGGCGTAGGGCATGCACCAGGGCTGCGGGAAGCCATGGGAGGGCTTTAAGCCTGAAAGAAGAGACATGATCAGGTTTGCATTTCAGAAGGACCCCATTGGGCCAGGTGCGGTGGCTCATGCCTGTAATCCCAGCACTTTGGGAGGCCGAGGTGGGCGGATCATCTGAGGTCAGGATTTTGAGACCAGCCTGGCCAACATGGTGAATCCCCAACGCTACTAAAAATACAAAAAGTAGGCAGGTGTGGTGGCGTGCACCTGTAATCCCAGCTACTTGGGAGGCTAAGGCAGGAGAATCGCTTGAACCCAGGAGGCGGAGGTTGCAGGATTGTGCTATTGCATTCCAGCCTGGGCCACAAGAGTGAAACTCAGTCTCAAAAAAAAAAAAAAAAAAGGACCCCACTGGCTACTTCGTGGAAAACTGGGTGGGAAGTCAGGTCAGGAGGTAGCACCGTGGCCAGGAGAAGGCTTCGTGTCCTCCAAACCTGGGTTTATTTAACAGACAACTAGGTAGAGTCCCCTAGACACCATTGCCGGGACATTTTTACTAAGATCATCCACTCGGCAGCTCTGGGGCCAGGCCCACCAGAGGTCCTTGGGGCCTATCATCCCCTGGAGGATGGGGGCAGCTGCCCTTGGGCAAGGGGGTACTGATGGGGTGGGTATCGGATGTCAACATAATTTCTGAAAGGAAGCAGGATTCTTCTTCTCAGACAATGCCTGTGGAAGACAAGTCAGACCCCCCAGAGGGGTCTGAGGAAGCCGCAGAGCCCGGGATGGACACACCAGAAGGTGAGGGAGGGAGGCTGCTGGCCCTTCAGAGGGACATGGATGGGGCGGGGCCGGTGGGCGGGTCAGCAGGTGATAGAGGCAGGTGTGGGAGGCTGGGGTTCTTGGTGGGAAGGTGGGAAGCCCAGGCCCTATCTCATGGAGGTCAGAGATGCTCTCCCCAACATCTGAGTTCCCTCGCTCATGCCTCCATTCCAGACCAAGATTTATCACCCTGCCCAGAGGACATCGGCAAGGAAAAATGCACTGCAGCACCTGAGCCTGAGCCTTGCGAGGTGTCCGAGCCGCCAGCCAAGAGGTTGAGGAGGTAACTGATGCTGAAGACCTGACCTGGGCCTGGGTGCCCTGCAAAGGCAGGGGCGGCAGTGGCAGTGGCAGAGGGGGTTCCCCAGCCTGTAAGTGGTAGAGCCAGCATTAGAAGCTGAGTCTTGGGCTGCGTGCGGTAGCTCACACCTGTAATCCCAGCACTTTGGGAGGCTGAGGTGGGTGGATCACCTGCAGTCGGGAGTTTGAGACCAGCCTGACCAACATGGAGAAACCCCTTCTCTACTAAAAATACAAAATTAGCCGGGTGTGGTGGTGCCTACCTGTAATCCCAGCTACTCAGGAGGCTGAGGCAGGAGAATTGCTTGAACCCAGGAGGCGGAGGTTGCAATAAACCGAGATCGTGCCATTGCACTCCAGCCTGGGCAACAAGAGCTAAACTCCATCTCAGAAAAAAAAAAACAAATAACAACAACAACAAAAACAAAAAAGAAACAGTCTTGGGCTGGGCATGGTGGCTCATACCTGTAATCCCAGGTTTCACCACATTGGCTAGGCTGGTCTCGAACTCCTGACCTCAAATGATCCACCTGCCTCAGCCTCCCAAAATGCTGGGATTACAGATGGGAGCCACCATGCTCGGCCTAGTTTTGGCCTTCCTTGGGAGCCCCTGGGGCCTCTTTGAAGACATGACTGGGATTTTCTTTTGATCCTTCCTAGCTCAGAAGAACCCACAGAGAAGGAACCTCCAGGGCAGCTACAGGCGAAGGCCCAGCCACAGGCCCGGATGACAGTACAGAAACAGACACAGACACCAGACCTGCTGCCTGAGCCCCTGGAAGCCCAAGTGCTGCCACGATTCCAGCCACGGGTCCTGCAGATCCAGGCCCAGGTGCAGTCACAGACTCAGCCACGGATACCACCCACAGACGCCCAGGTGCAGCCAAAGCTGCAGAAGCAGGCACAAACACAGACCTCTCCCGAGCACTTAGTGCTGCAACAGAAGCAGGTGCAGCCACAGCTGCAGCAGGAGGCAGAGCCACAGAAGCAGATGCAGCCACAGGTACAGCCACAGGCACATTCACAGGCCCCAAGGCAGGTGCAGCTGCAGCAGGAGGCAGAGCCACAGAAGCAGATGCAGCCACAGGTACAGCCACAGGCACATTCACAGGCCCCAAGGCAGGTGCAGCTGCAGCAGGAGGCAGAGCTGCAGAAGCGGCTGCAGCCCCAGGCACGTTCCCAGCCCCCAAGGCAGGTGCACCTGCAGCTGCAGAAGCAGGCCCAGACACAGACGTATCCACAGGTCCACACACAAGCACAGCCAAGGGTCCAGCCGCAGGAGCAGCCTCCAGCGCAGGTGCCAGTACAGCCACCAGAGCAAACCCATGAGCAGCCTCAGACCCAGCCACAGGTGTCGGTGCTGGCTCCAGAGCAAACACCGGTTGTGGTTCATGTCTGCGGGTTGGAGATGCCACCTGATGCAGTAGAAGCTGGTGGAGGTAAGTGAGCACTGGCTTCCAGCTGGTCTGGTGACGGGACAGCTCTGCCCAGACCCTTCATTCCTCCCCTGACTGGGTGCTGCCTGGGACTGATGGCTAGGCCCGGAACCCAGGTCCAGGGTCATCCATGCTGGGGGCCTCAAGGTTCTGGCTGCGGACGGAGAAAGCAGCTCTTGGTCCTGGGGTGGGAGATGCACTCTGGGAAACAGAGCACATCTGTCATTTCAGGCATGGAAAAGACCTTGCCGGAGCCTGTGGGCACCCAAGTCAGCATGGAAGAGATCCAGAAGGAGTCGGCCAGTGGCCTAGATGTGGGAGAATGTGAAAACAGAGCAAGAGAGATGCCAGGGGTGGGTAGAGGCCCTGATGTGGCAGTGTGAGGGCCACAGAGCCCCTGCAGGGTGGGATGGCCTCTTTCTGCCCCAGGCCACCTCAGGGCCTCCTTGTGTTTCCCCCACTGTGAAATGGGATGACAGCCCTCTGCCTAGGATGGGGGGACAGACCAGGCTGGGCTTGACAGTGGTCTGCATGGGACCTTCTTGCTGTTGTGCTGTCTTCACATCCATCCCTTCCAGCCTGCCCATCCCCAAGCAAGAGCCCCAGTCTTGCATGGGTAATGTTGCCCTCATGGAGAGAGCACAGAGTGGAAGCCTCTTTGTGGGGTTTGGGTCCCAGCTCTGCATAACTGTGGGCAAACCCTTTCCCTTCTATGAGTCTGTTTCCCCATCTGTCATACAAGGGGTGGGACGGGTGGTACTTTAGGCTGACCTGGGTATGCATCCTGACTGCAGTGCTTTCTAGCTGTGTAAGCTGGGGTGGTCCCCTAACAGCTCAGAGCCTCAGTTTCCCCATCGTCAGGAAGATCTGATGAGACAATGTTGGTAGATGTCGAATGCTGGGCTGGCCCACTGTAAGTACACAGTTGGTAGAAGCTCAGTTTCTACTCCCCATGCAGGTGTGGGGCGCTGGGGGCTCCCTGAAGGTCACCATTCTGCAGAGCAGTGACAGCCGGGCCTTTAGCACTGTACCCCTGACACCTGTGCCCCGCCCCAGTGACTCTGCCTCCTCCACCCCTGCAGCTACCAGCACTCCCTCAAAGCAGGCCCTCCAGTTCTTCTGCTACATCTGCAAGGCCAGCTGCTCCAGCCAGCAGGTACTGATACAGGAGATAAGGGCGGGGAGGGGTGGGGCCTGCGTGGAGTGCGCAGCCTGCCCTCCCAAGGCTGCCTCAGGCTGCACTGGGCCCTGCCTCCAGCAGCCATGCATTTGCTTGGGAAACATTTCCTGACCAGCCAAGAAGGCAGGTTTCGGTGGTTTTGTTTTTTTGTTTTTTGTTTCGAGACAGGGTCTTACTCTGTCTCCCAGGTTGGAATGCAGTGGCATCATCTCAGCTCACTGCAGCCTCTACCTCTTGGGCTCAAGCAGGTTTTTAGAGTCAGGCAGACCTGGTTCATATCGGCTCTGAGTAGCTGGGGGACCTTGGAAAGCGAATTCCACCCCGTGCCTATTTCCTCTTACGTCAGACAAAGGAAAGTTTAGGGTCCGGCACTTTGGCTCACGCCTGTAATCCCAGCACTTTGGAAGGCCGAGGTGGGCGGATCACGAGGTCAGGAGTTTGAGACCAGCCTGACCAACATGGTGAAACCCCATCTCTACTAAAAATATGCAGTGGCGTGCGTCTGTAATCCTAGCTACTCAGGAGGCTGAGGCAGGAGAATCCAGGAGGCAGAGGTTGCAGTGAGCTGAGATCATGCCACTGTACTCCAGCCTGGGTGACAGAGCAAGCCTCTGTCTCAAAAAAAGAAAGAAAGAAAGAAACATTTAGAATCTACCTCATTGGGTGATTCTGGGGAGTCACCAATGTGACATTGGAGTCCTGAGCGCAGGTCTGGCCCAAAGTGAGTGTAGCAGTAATCATGATCGCATTGTACTTGTATTATTACTACTCTTGTGCTGTGAGCTGTGTTACTCTGTGCCTCACCTGGCAGAGCCTTGGAGACCTGATGCTAACCAGGCTGCTCCTTGTCTTTGAGGCACTCACACATTCTCTGGGAGGGGCAGAAGCTTGGGCTGGCGTGTGCCCTGTGTCTCAGTTTATCGTGCCTGCTCCAGCCTACACAAGAGAGAAATGTGTGGCGAGAGAAATGGGCTCACAGTGATGAGGTTGGGATCTGCCTCCCGAGGCCCCAGCCTTGCCCACTCTTCCGGGCTCACACCCCAGGCCCATCCCTCACTCCCTCCTGCTGCAGGAGTTCCAGGACCACATGTCGGAGCCTCAGCACCAGCAGCGGCTAGGGGAGATCCAGCACATGAGCCAAGCCTGCCTCCTGTCCCTGCTGCCCGTGCCCCGGGATGTCCTGGAGACAGAGGATGAGTGAGTGGGGGATCGTGGAAGCTCTGCGTTGTGGGGAGGTGGTCTCGTCAGCCAGGGCCTGAATCTGCCGTCTGCAGGGTCTACCTTTGGATTAAGCATTGCCGCGGCCAGCCAGGCCTCCTCACACTGTTAACTGTGTGACCTTAAACCTCAGTTTTCCCTGCCTGTAACATGGCTTGGTGGAGGGATATAGTACAGGAATTCATGACAGTCTCTTAAGAGTCCCTCTAGACAGAGACAGTGTGACCATCCCTGTGGGAGAGGACAGGTTGTGGCACAGACCCCTGACCCCTGCGGCACGTGTGCTGACCCCGCTGTGGGGTGACAAGGCTGAGGATCAGGTTCTTTTGTGGTTGGAGGTTAGGGCTTCCCTGTGTCTCCCCCTTTCATTGTCACGGGGGCCTGTTTAATCAGAAACTTCAGCCCTCCTGGGATCTGGAACTAGACTGGGGCGGGAAGGCCTGGCGGGCAGCCGGAGGTGCTTTCAGGACTCTGTGGGCAGTTGTAAAGGTGTGCAAGGGCTGGGACGTGTCATCTCAGCAGCAGGACCATGTTAGCTAGGGCAACAGCTGGGACACAGGCCCTGTCTCATGAGACAGCTGCTTCTCAGCTCCAGATCTCTTAGTTTTAAGAAGAATCCAGAAATCCAGGTTTGTATGTGAAATCTCCCAATTTCAAAATGTTAACAGCTAGTTCAGAATTGAAACAAAACAAACCCTATGGAGGGCAAATCAAACACTTTCATAGGCTGGACGGTCCCTTGAGTCAGTGGTCACGGGCTCTGTCCTGATTTTACAGAGGTCACGATTTGAAGCTTCCAGGTGGGGCTGAGGGGACAGGAAGGGCTCTTGGTGACCTCTGCTTGCCTGCAGCCTGCGTCTCTGTTAGCTGTTTCTCATGTTGAGAAGAATTTCCTTGAGTGGTTTTCTACTTGGGTGAAATAATCATAAACACAGGAGAATGATGACTCACCAAGACGTTCTTTGCTATTAGTATCATGGTAAAAAAAAAAAAGCTAACGGGAAATGATCTAAAATACTCAAAAGTAGGGGATTGGTTAGATGGTGAAAAAGCCCGCCCAGCTCATGGAACAATGAACAAATAGGATAACTGGGGAATTTATAATAATGTGGAAAGGTGATGCAATGTCAGAGTAAAACAGGATTCAAAATTGCATCTGCAGAATGAGTTATTTGTATAAAAATAGATCTTGTGACACAGAAGGACACTAAAAAGACATACTTAGCACAAGCTGTTAACAAACTTCAGGTGTCGGGGATTTATCAAACCCTCTCCCAATGATCTCTCTCCATGAAGTCTTCTCTTGAATCCTACTTGGCCCCGAGGCCATGAAGAACATTATGGTCAGGTGCAGTGGCTCAGGCTTGTAATCCTAGCACTCTGGGAAGCTGAGGTGGGCAGATCACCTGAGGTCAGGAGTTCAAGACCAGCCTGGCCAACATGGTGGAACCCCCTTCTCTACTAAAAATACAGAGTTAGCTGGGTAATGTGGTGCATGCCTGTGATCCCAGCTACTTGGGAGGCTGAGGCAGAATTGCTTGAACCCGGGGGCGGAGGTTGCAGTGAGCTGAGATCACACCACTGCACTCCAACCTGGGTGACAGAGTGAGATTCCATCTCAAAAACAACAACAAAAATGTAAAAAGTCCCTCCAGTCCCTAGCTACGACCACCTCACCTTGGTCCCCAACACAAAGACATCAATACTGTCCTCCTGCATCAGTGGCGGTTCTTTGCGGTTGTAAGTGACAAAAATTCCAATTTCTGTAAGACAGAAATTAGCTTGAGCAAAAAGGAGCAACGTTTTTGGCTTAGGTAAGTTATACAAGAGATACAGCTGGACCCAGGGGATACCATTTCTTAGAGAGGCTCCATCTCTTACTACAGTGGGCACCAGGTACCCACAGCCCCAGCCTCCCTGCACAGTGACCTCCAAGGAAGGGCAGTCACCTGTGTCTGCAGTAGCAGAACAGTTTTTAGGGGAAATGCTGGTTAATTTGATTGTGGTCATGTGCACGTTTCTGAAGCAATCCCCTGGCCAGGGATGGGGCGTTCTGACTGGCTAGGCCTAGGCAGGCCAGCTCTACCCAAATCACATGGAAATACATTTCCCCATGGAAGGCAGGGGGGGGTGTTCCCAGGAATGGGGCTGAAGGCTGGATCCCAATACCCTAGCTGGGGGGGTGCCCATCTCTTCCCTCCTCAAAGCCCACAGAGCAGGTGCTGTGAAATAAGCCCTTGCCATTTCTTTTCTTTTTTTTTCTCTTGAGACAGTCACACTGTGTCACCCAGGCTAGAGTGTAGTGGCATGATCATGGCTCACTGCAACCTCCGCTTCCGGGTTCAAGCAATTCTCGTGCCTCAGCCTCCCAAGTAGCTGAGATTACAGGCGTGCCACCATGCCTGGCTAATTTTTGTATTTTTAGTAGAGAGGGGGTTTCACCACATTGCCCCAGGCTGGTCTCGAACTGCTGGCCTCATGTGATCCCCCAATCTTGGCCTTTTTTTTTTTTTTTTTTTTTGAGACGGAGTCTTGCTCTGTTGCTCAGGCTGGAGTGCAGTGGTGCAATCTCAGCTCACTGCAAACTCCGCCTCCTGGGTTCACGCCATTCTCCTGCCTCAGTCTCCCGAGTATCTGGGACTACGGGTGCCCACCACCATGCCCAGCTAATTTTTTGTATTTTTAGTAGAGACGGGGTTTCTCCATGTTAGCCAGGATGATCTTGATCTCCTGACCTCGTGATCTGCCCGCCTTGGCCTCCCAAAGTGCTGGGATTACAGGTGTGAGCCACCATACCCGACCTTCTTTGGCCATTTCTGGGCAGCCTCAGACATGACACTGGCACAAAGTGTCCACCTGTTTGATGACCATGTTCTCTCCCCACCCCCTTTCTTCATTTATTGTGTTTTTCTCTCACAGAGATCAAAATGCACATTAAAAAAATAGAGCCAGACTGGCATGGTGGCTCACACCTATAATCCCAGCACTTTGGGAGGCTGAGGTGGGGGTATTGCTTGAGTTTAGGAGTCCAAGACCAGCCCATCCTGAGACCTGTGCCTCTACAAACTATAAAAAATTAGCCAGGCCTGGTGGCGTGCACTTGTAGTCCCAGCTACTTAGGAGGCTGAGGTGGGAGGACTGCTTGAGCCCAGGAGGTGGAGGCTGCAGTGAGCCTTGATCATGCCACTGCACTCCAGCCTGGATGACAGTGCGAGACCCTCTCTCTTAAAAAAAAAAAAAAATGCAAACTTTACAAAACTGTGTTTGAAAGGAAAATTCCAGCCAGGCGCAGTGGCTCAAGCCTGTAATCCCAGCACTTTGGGAGGCCGAGATGGGTGGATCACGAGGTCAGGAGATCAAGACCATCCGGTGAAACCCCGTCTCTACTAAAAATACAAAAAAACTAGCCGGGCGTGGTGGCGGGCGCCTGTAGTTCCAGCTACTCGGGAGGCTGAGGCAGGAGAATGGCGTAAACCCAGGAGGCGGAGCTTGCAGTGAGCTGAGATCCGGCCACTGCACTCCAGCCTGGGCGACAGAGCGGAAAAAAAAAAAAAAAAAGGAAAATTCCACAGCAGTGCTGCCCTCTGGAGCAAGCTGCTTTAAAGTGATTTTGTTGCTTGCAGCAGTATTAAGAAGATTTTACTGAGGACAGTAAGTGTCCCTAAATCCTAAAACCTAAAACCTGGTACTCTCACTGTGTGGCTGATGTGCTTTTTTTGACTAAAAAAATTTTTTTTCTGATTATAAAAATAATTCGCTCATTATATAATGTTTTGAAAATACAAGGACACAGACACACAAGAAGATAAAAATCACCCATAATCCCATTACCCAGAGATAAACACTGCTTACATTTTGACCTAGTTCTTCTTGTGATCCTTTCTGGATTTATACAATCTTTAAAAATAAAAATCAGATTCATGCTACATGACAACACGAACACTTTCTGTCTCTAAGCAGCCCTCCCCAGTAGAGCTCTTACAGCGCTTTCTCAGTGGCCATGGGGGTTATGTGCCCCCTAAAATTTATGAAAAAATTGTATACTTGCATATTTTATAGAGAGCCCTTATTTTCACTGATTCAGATACTTTTTTTTTTTTTTTTTGAGACAGAGTCTTGCTCTGTTGCCCAGACTGGAGTGCAGTGGCGCGATCTCGGCTCACTGCAACCTCCATCTCCCACACCACCATGCCTAATTTTATTTTATGTAGAGACAAGATCTCACTATGTTGCCTAGGCTGGTCTTGGACTTCTGGGCTCAAGCGATCCTCCTGCCTCAGCCTCCCAAAGTGCTGGGATTATAGGCATGAGCCACTGTGCCTGGCCCCCTTTTTATTTATTTATTATTTATTTTGGAGACAGTGTCTTGTGTTGCCCCAGCTAGAGTGCAATGGCACAGTCATGGTTCACTACAGCCTCCACCTCCTGGGCTCAAGCAATCCTCCCACCTCAGCTTCTGAGTAGCTAGGACTATAGGCATGTGCCACCAAATCCAGCTAATGTTTTTTATGTTTCATAGAGATGGGGTCTTGCTATGTTGCTCAGGTTGGTCTCAAACTCCTGGGCGCAAGCAGTCCTCCTGCCTTGAGGACTGGGATTACAGGTGTGAGCCATTGTGCCTGGCCTCCCTTTTTTAAAGTGTTTGGTTTTTATTTTTATGCCTGACTCTCTGGTAGTTCAGCTAGAATTCATTTTCAAGTAAGGTGGAAGGTGGAAGCAGAAGGCCTTTCTTCTCCAAGTAGACAACAAATTGTTCTGACATAACTTGTTGTATAATCGATGCTTTTCAATACCAATTTATCAGAAGCTGAATTCTGTTTTTTGAGATGGGGGTCTCACTCTGTCACCCAGGTTGGAGTGCAGTGGCACTATCTTAGTTCACTGCAACTTCTGCCTCCCAGGCTGAAGCAATTGTCCCACCCCAGCCTCCTGAGTATCTGGGACCACAGGTGCATGAGCCACCATGCCTGGCTAATTTTTTGTATTTTTGCTAGAGAAGGGGTTTTGCTATGTTGCCCAGGCTGGCGAAGCTGAATTCTTACCAGTATTTGAACCTGGTTAGGACTTTCCATTCTTTCCCATTGATATACTGTCAGGATGTACATCACACTACACAGTTTTATCTATTGTAGCTTGTGGTTTTCATTTTAAAGGTTGGCATCCCCAGTGCTTCATTCCCCTTCCCCCTAAAGTTTCCTGGGTTATTTCTGCTTAAGTACTCATCTAGATGAACCTCAGAACCGGTGTGTGTTTTTTTATTTTTATTTTTATTTATTTATTTTTTTTGAGACGGAGTCTCGCTCTGTTGCCCAGGCTGGAGTGCAGTGGCGCGATCTCAGCTCACTGCAAGCTCCGCGTCCCGGGTTCACGCCATTCTCCTGCCTCAGCCTCCCGAGTAGCTGGGACTACAGGCGCCCGCCACCTCACCCAGCTAGTTTTTTGTATTTTTAGTAGAGACGGAGTTTCACCGTGTTAGCCAGGATGGTCTCGATCTCCTGACCTCGTGATCCGCCCTCCTCGGCCTCCCAAAGTGCTGGGATTACAGGCTTGAGCCACCGCGCCCGGCCCAGAACCGGTTAAGCTTCCCTAAGAGATCCTGTGGGAATTGCTATTGGAATGGCATTACACTTACGGAGCACTCTCAGACAGCTGCTGTCTTTCTGGCTTCACATTGTACTTGCTTTGACTGTTGTCATTCAGGGAGCCTCCACCAAGGCGCTGGTGTAACACCTGCCAGCTCTACTACGTGGGGGACCTGATCCGACACCGCAGGACACAGGACCACAAGGTAGGAGGGCCTGCACACTGCAGAGGCACCCGCACTGCTGTCTCCAAGCGGAGGCCAGGCAACACAGAGCCCCAGGAGGAAAGTAAACGTTCCTCTTTGTCCCTGTACCCGCATAACCCACAATGCAGTTCTGGATGAGTCAGTCTTGTTTCTTCTTCGGGCTTCAGGTTCCCCATCTGTCCAGCGTAGGCCAGGTACCATCTCACCCCTGCCATTCAGCCATGGGGCTCACGGGTTATTTGGGCAGCTGCCCTCTCTCTCGTCTTCTCTCTGTGTCTGTCCTGTCTCTGTGTTGCCATCTGCCATCGCATCTCTCAGCCACCCACACCACGAAGAGATGTGTTTGCCCACGTTCCAGTGCAGGGGTGGAGCACAGCCCAGCTTGTTACAGATATGGTGGGCCTGCCCAGGGGAGGTGAGCTCTTGCCAGGCCCTGCCTGGGTGCTAGTCAGGGGGCTTGCACCTGGGGACACTGCTTGGTCGGCCTGCCTTTTTCCAGATCGCCAAACAATCCTTGCGACCGTTCTGCACCGTTTGCAACCGCTACTTCAAAACCCCTCGCAAGTTTGTGGAGCACGTGAAGTCCCAGGGTCATAAGGACAAAGCCAAGGAGGTAACCCGAGCTCCCTCAGAGGACATGGGCCCAGAGAGGTACAGAGCCTTGGCCAAGGCCATGCAGCAAGCTGAGGTTTTTCCCAGCCCAAACTCACAGCAGGTCTGGAGGGATCGAGACTCTCAGGGGAGGGGTGGGGTGGGTAGGGCATGGCCTCTTGGCTGTTCAGAGCTGACCTGAGCCCCTTGCCTGCTCCCTGGGCAGCTGAAGTCGCTTGAGAAGGAGATTGCTGGCCAAGATGAGGACCACTTCATTACAGTGGACGCTGTGGGTTGCTTTGAGGGTGATGAAGAGGAAGAGGATGATGAGGATGAAGAAGAGATCGAGGTTGAGGAGGAACTCTGCAAGCAGGTGCTCGGGGGAGGGTGTGGGAGGCGGGCTCCGTGCTGGATTCCCAGCCCAGAACAGACCTCATCCCACCTCCCGGAGGCCAGACACTGGGCTGGCATCTGTGGGCACTAATGCATGCCACAACTGATTATTACTGTCAACTGCCTTCTGCATGACTATGTAATTATGCATGATGACTAGAGAGTAGCAGTTAAAATATGCAAAGCCTGACTGAAATTTGGACCTGTATGGAGGAAGGGAAAGGGAACAGCGTTAGTAAAGGCACCAAAGTGGGAAACTATGTAGTGTGCAAAGGAAAAGTCAGATGATAGTGATGATAATGGTGAGGCTGATAGCAGCAGACATCTTTTATTTAATTAATTTATTAATTTATTAATTTATTTATTTTTGAGACAGAGTCTCACTCTGTCGCCTGGGCTGGAGTACAATGGTGCGATCTCAGCTCACTGCAACCTCTGCCTCCCAGGTTCAAGCAATTCTCCTGCCTCAGCCTCCCGAGTACCTGGGATTACAGGTGCCTGTCACTATGCCCAGCTAATTATTTTTGTATTTTTAGTAGAAACGGGGTTTCACCATGTTGGCCAGGCTGGTCTTGAACTCCTGACCTTGTCATTCACCTGCCTTGGCCTCCCAAAGTGCTGGGATTACAGTGTGAGTCACCGCGCCCGGCCAGCAACAGACATCTTTTTGAGCACTTACTATGTTCCAGGCGTGTGTACCAAGCACTATCCTGGCTGAATCTCATCAGATTGGATGGCACGAAGTGAAACCTTCAGAGTCCACGTTTCCAATGCCGCAGCTACCCTGTCTCCCATCAATGAGGAGCTGGAGGAGCTTGGAATCTTTGCAGTTTTTATTTTTATTTATTTTTTTGAGACGGAGTCTTGCTCTGTCGCCCAGGCTGGAGTGCAATGGTGTGATCTTGGCTCACTGCAACCTCCACCTCCTGGGTTCACGCGATTCTCATGCCTCAGCCTCCCAAGTAGCTGGGATCACAGGCACCCGCCACCACGCCTGGCTAATTTTTGTATTTTTAGTAGAGACAGGGTTTCACCATGTTGGCCAGGCTGGTCTTGAACTCCTGACCTCAGGTGATCCACCCACCTTGGCCTCCCAAAGTGATGGGATTACAGGCGTGAGCCACCGTGCCCAGCCAGATTCTTTGCAGTGTAACACGTTTCCAGAGCGCGTCTTCTGGGTCAGGCCCTGGTGCTGGACGCAGGGACCCATGAGGGCCAAGGCCTCGTCCTTGCCCTCACCGAGGCTGCCCCAGTTACAGTCCAGGGGCCAGCTGGGGCTACTTATAGGCTGTGGCAGTCCCAGTGGGGTATGAAGGGGCTGGGGAGGAAGTGTTGTGGGGGTGGCCTGCAGTCCTAGGCAGGGCAGTATGAGGCCCATCTTCCTTGCTCAGTAGCAACAACATCTCAGGCAAGCCACTTGGCCTCTCTGAGCCTCAGTTGCCTCTGCTCAGAAATAACAATCTGAACTTGGACAATAAGGGAAACCCAGGGCCCACAGCTTGGTCCTAGGAAGGGCTTAGCAAACGGGGGTGGTTGTCCTTCTTGGAAGCCACATTTGTTTGCCTGGTGAGTGGTGGAGGGCACTGCTAGGCCTGCTAGGGCTGACATGGTCAGAGTCAGATGACCTCATTCGGAAGGGGCTGACATCCAGCAGGTGAAATGCACAGTCTTTGATCCCCTGAACCCACCCCCTAGGACCAAGGTCACTGCAGTATTGGATAGGACCTTAGGGAGCTAGCAGGGGGCTCATGGTTGAGTGTGAACTATGGCTTAGACCTACAGGGTTCCCTGCCCAGCTCCTCCGCAAACCAGCTGTGCAACCCTAGACAAGTGAGTTAATGTCCCTGGGCCTCAGTTTCTTCTTAGTAAAATGGGTGTAGCCATATAGGGTTGTTATGAGGATTCAGTCAGATGACACATGATATCTTGGGCACACCTGGCATGGATTATGGCCCCTGTAGGAGCAGGAGGACTTCCTGGAGGAGGAGGCTAGTTGAACAGAGTCTAGAAAGTATAGATTGGGAAGAGCACTCTGGAAGGCAGGATCACCATGTGCAAAGACTCAGAGACCACCACCCACTACCTCCTGGAAATCAAGGGGATTCTGTGTGTCCAAGGGCATTGGTGGGCTCCAGGCCCCTGACCTGCATCTGGGAGGTGTCTAGGGGAAGCCAGATCCGAGGCTCATGCTTGCATGTTTTCAGATGAGGTCCAGAGATATATCCAGAGAGGAGTGGAAGGGCTCAGAGACCTACAGCCCCAATACTGCATATGGTAAGGCCCCAGCCCTGAGCCCACCCGCAGGAGCTTCAGCCCTTAGGCCCAGCCTCCACGTGACCCTCCCAGATTCCGGCCATGGCATTCTGGCTGGGAAGCCTTCTCTTCCGCTCCTGGCTAGAGGGTCAGGGAGCACATGGGCCCCTAGAGAGGGAGGGACACCTCGCTGGTACAGGGATGCGAGTGCAGACCCTGCCATCCCGTCCTACAGGTGTGGACTTCCTGGTACCCGTGATGGGCTACGTCTGCCGCATCTGCCACAAGTTCTATCACAGCAACTCAGGGGCACAGCTCTCCCACTGCAAGTCCTTGGGCCACTTTGAGAACCTGCAGGTGAGCCGGACATCCTGCCCTGTCCTCCCCTGGCCACAGACTCAGTTATATCCAAGCTGATCCGGGTGGCTAGTGGCCACCCCTTCTTGTGCTGGGCCTCAACCCCAAGACACCACCCCTGCACCAACAGGGAGAAAATTAGAGCTGGGGTGGGGTTGGGCTCTTATTGTTCAAGGGGATGCTGAGTACGAGGCTGTTAGCTCCAGAGTCTTGGCCCAGAGAGGCTGAGTGCATCACGCAGGGTCACAGAGCACACTAATACTGTCTCAGCCAGAGCTGGGGAAGTAGCTGCTGGCCAGGAGCATACCATGTAGGGAGGAGACCCTGACCTTACCTGCACCTTCTGTATCCAGAAATACAAGGCGGCCAAGAACCCCAGCCCCACCACCCGACCTGTGAGCCGCCGGTGCGCAATCAACGCCCGGAACGCTTTGACAGCCCTGTTCACCTCCAGCGGCCGCCCACCCTCCCAGCCCAACACCCAGGACAAAACACCCAGCAAGGTGACGGCTCGACCCTCCCAACCCCCACTACCTCGGCGCTCCACCCGCCTTAAAACCTGACAGAGGGACCTCCCTGTTCCCCGGCCTGCCTGGGTCCAAATCTGCTAATGCTTTTTAGGAGTCTGCCTGGAAACTTTGACATGGTTCGTGTTTTTACTCAAAATCCAATAAAACAAAGTAGTTTGGCTGTGCAGTTCCCACCAGTACTTCTGTCTGGGTGGAGAGGGGAAGGGGGGCACCCCAGCCAGCTCTCAGCCAGCACCCAGCCTCTCTGGGCCATGTGGTGGCAGAACCGGAAGGCCAGACAGGCTCCCTGGGAACCAGGGACTCTGGATCACAGGCACTTCACCTGTCTGAACTTTGGTTTCCCTCTTTTAAAAAAAGTTTTAGGCCGGGTGCAGTGGCTCATGCCTGTAATCCCAGCACTTTGGGAGGCTGAGGCGGGTGGATCACCTGAGGTCAGGAGTTCAAGACCAGCCTGGCCAATCCACTAAAAAATACAAAAATTAGCTGGGCGTTGTGGCGGGCACCTATAATCCCAGCTACTTGGGAGGCTGAGGCAGAGAGAATTGCTTGAACCCAGGAAGCAGACGCTGCAGTGAGCCGAGATGGTGCCACTGCACTCCAGCTTGGGCAAAAGAGTGAGACTCCATCTCAAAAAAAAAAAAAAAAAAAAAAAAAAAAATTAATTTTTGAGCCAGGTGCGGTGGTTTATGCCGGTAATCCCAGCACTTTGGGAGGCTGAGGTGGGCAGATCACCTGAGGTCAGGAGTTTGAGACCAGCCTTGCTAACATGGAGAAACCCCATCTCTACTGAAAATACAATTAGCCAGGCATGGTGGCGGGCACCTGTAATCCCAGCTACTCGGGAGGCTGAGACAGTGAAGCAGGAGAATCGCTTCAACCTGGGAGGCAGAGGTTGCGGTGAGCCGAGATCGTGCCATTGCACTTCAGCCTGGGCGACTCCATCTCAAAAAAAAAAAAAAAAAAAAATTTAATTTAAATTTATTTTTTGAGATGGAGTCTCACTGTGTCTCTCACGGTGGAGTGCAATGACCCAATCTCGGCTCACTGAAACCTCCACCTCCCAGGTTCAAGTGATTCTCCTACCTCAGCCTCCTGAGTAGCTGGGATTACAGGTGCATGCCACCATGCTCAACTAATTTTTTGTATTTTTAGTATAGACCGGGTTTCGCCATGTTGGTGAGACTGGTCTTGAACTCCTGACCTTAAATAATCCACCTGTCTTGGCCTCCCAAAGTACTGGGATTACAGGCGTGAGCCACCACACCTGGCTCATTTTTATCCTTTTGAGGCAGGGTCTGGCTCTGTTGCTCAAACTGGAGTACAGTGGTGCCAATCTCGGCTCACTGCGACCTCTGCCTCCCAGGCTTAAGCCATCCTCCCAACTCAACTTCCCGAGTAGCTGGGACCACAGGCATGCACCATCACGCCTGGGTAATTTTTCTTATGTTCTTGGTAGAGATGGTGTTTCGCCATGTTGCCCAGGCTGGTCTCAAATTCCTGGGCTCGAGCAATCCGCCCACCGTGGCATTCCAAACTGCTGGCATTATAGGTGTGAGCCACTGTGCCTGGCCGAGTTTCCCTCTTAATAACATATCAGACCTGGGGAAGTTCCTTTGGCTGGAGGCCTGACAAGGTCAAGTGACTTGCTGAAGGCCACGCAGTTGCTAAGTGGCTGGGATTTGACCTGGGCCTGACCTCTCTGACCCGTGCTGGCCTGGCTCTCCAGCTGCACCCTTTGGCAGCTAGTGGGGAGTGGGGTCCTTGCTGCTCAGGCCCTCTGGTTCTCTTCTTGGTTCACTAGCAGGCACCCCGCCCTCCTGGTCAGGCGGCCCTAAGATGAATCATGGGTGGATGGGGCTCGGGCTGAGTTGGCCCTTTACTTCTGCTATTTCCTCATTAGAAAGACCCAGAGAGATAAATGACCAGACCAACCCTGTTACTGGGGAGACAGGCCAGGAGTAGGAGGGCAATGCGGAGGCTGCATGGCATGTCTTGGTGTTGGCTGTCTTGGCAAAAGGCCTTAGTATCCAGAGAGGCTGAGAGCATCACACAAGGTCCTGTAGCCTGTCCAGCAGCCTCAATTGGGCTTCTGGGCTAGGACGCAGCTGCTAGCCAGGAATGTACCAGGTAGGGAGGAAGCCCTGCCCTCACCTGCACCTTCTGTGTCCAGAAGTACAGGTGACCAAGAACGCCAGCCCCACCACCTGGCCTCTGAGCCGCCAGTACATGATCAACACCTGAACACCTAGATGGCCCTGTTCACCTCCAGCAGCTCCTGGGGTTCTCGTCCTGGGATACAGAGGAGAGAGGCACAGCGGTGTGGGAGACCCATTTAATGTGGACACTCAAAGCCTGGGCAGAGTGGGGAGTGCCCAGGAGTTGGGTGGGCAGGCAAGTGGGTGGGTTGCAGGCCCACTTTTGGCCCCAGGAAGGGATGCCAGGCAGTGGGGGCTGGCCCAGGTAGGCCAAGGGGGAGGCCCAGGCAGGAAGGGTGGTCCAGGTAGGCAGACCCACCAGGGGACCCTGAAGACCAGCCCTTGAGAAGGTGTCTAAGCCAGGAGGTGAGTACCCAGGCCAGAGCCTAGCCCAGGGAGGCAGGGTTGGGTCCCGGTTGGGGGCTCTTGGAGCCTAGGGGCTGGCATCACTGGGGGCCTCCCCGAGCTGCTGCTGGAACTCCAGGCGTGTCTGCCGGTTGGACTCCAGCAGCTCCTGGAGGCGGGCGTGGAGGTGGTCGTTCTTCTCCTCCAGGTGGTCCAGACAGGAGTTGATCTGGTCCAGCATGGAGTTGATGGCAGCGTATTCTGGGAGGAAGGCGAAAGACAGAGCCCAGATCCTGTGTCTCCTTGGGGCTAATGGCCACCCTCCCTCCACCGTTTCCCAGCCTGCTTCCCAAAGGGCTTTGTGCAAGTCCCCACTCCTTCCTGAGCCTCAGTGTCACCGTCTGGAAAATGGGTGGATACCAAAAGCGGAATGGCTTTGAATGAATGACACCTGAGTACTGCATCCTTTTTTCTAGGGTTAGGGTGGTCACAGGGTGGTGAGCCAGTGTCCTACATGGGAAGTCCTGCCAGGTGCCAAGTCTCTGCACTTTCTGCAGCAGCTGCTTAGTGGTCAGAGCCCACATTCCTGAGTTGGGCATTCAAGGCCTCTGTCCCCACATGGGCCCTGTTCGCCAGCCCTTCTCTGGCTCCCCCAGGGTAAAACACCCAGTGGAGTCTCCCAGTCCCTGCCTCCTAGCTAGCCCTGCCTCCCTGCCTCTTCCTTTCCTCTCTCACACCTGCCTTTACCTACCTCAGGCCCTTTGAACATGCTGCTGTCTCTGCCTGGAATGTGCTGGGTCCTCCCATCTTCCTTCCCTCCTCTCCTCCTGGATGAGTCCCACTCATCCTTCAAGTCTCAGTATGGATGTCACCACCGGGAGCCCACCCAATGCCCCAGACTGGATCAGGCCTCTATGCTGAGCCCCTAGCCCTCCTCAGCCCTCCACGACCCTCTCCAGGATTGACTGCTGTGCTTATCTGAGTGCTGTTCTGTTTCCCCATGAAAGCTGAATGGTCCTGTGTTCGCTGCTGGCTCCCTGGTACCCTCACAGTTTTGCAATAAGCATTTGTTGAATGACTGAGTGAGTGAATGAATGAAGCCTCTGACTTGCCAGCCTCTCCGCCATTGCTCAACTATCCCTGCAACCTAGAATGCCTCAACCACAACAGCCCATCAAGGACCAGCTCAAAATGCCTCCTCCAAGAAGTCTTCCCTGATCTCCACTAGAAACCATCACTCCTTCCCCTCCACGGCCACTCCAGAGCTGCCTTGCTCAGCAACACAGTGTCCCTGAGGACTCAAGGTCTGGGCCTGTGCCCACTGCGGGACCCAGTTCTGAGCCAGCCCATGACTCAGATACACTCAGCTGCCAGCTTGAGACCAAGGGGGAAGCAGCCAGTAGAGGAGCTGGAGGAGCCTATCTGGGTTATGGGTGCACTTGTGCCTGTGTTCTGGGAAAGGGCACCCGTTCCCAGCCACCCTCACAGAGGACAGAGTCCTGGGAAATTGGCTGCATCTTAAAGTCCAAGCCCCTCGTGGTATATAGCTAGGGAAACCAAGGCCTCCAAAGGAACCTGCCCAGGATCCTCCAGGTTGGTAACAGAGTCGAAACTCAGGATTGGACTTGGAGGTCGGGGCACTTGGGTTTGAATTCCAGCTCTGCTTTACCCCAGCAAGTTGTTGTACCTTTCTGGAAAAAAGGGAAAATAACTGGGTGGTTGTGAGGATTCAAACATATCAAGAGTTCAGACAGTGGCCAGCGTGGTGGCTCACGCCTGTAATCCCAGCACTTTGGGAAGCCAAGGAGGGTGGATTACCGGAGGTCAGGAGTTCGAGACCAGCCTGGCCAACATGGTGAAACACTGTCTCTACTAAAAATATATAAAAATCCTGTAATCCCAGCACTTTGGGAGGCCAAAACGGGCGGATCACGAGGTCAAGAGCTCGAGACCATCCTGGCTAACACGGTGAAACCCCGTCTCTACTAAAAAATACAAAAAGCTAGCCAGGCAAGGTGGCGGGTGCCTGTAGTCCCAGCTACTCGGGAGGCTGAGGCAGGAGAGTGGCGTAAACCCAGGAGGCAGAGCTTGCAGTGAGCTGAGATCCGGCCACTGCATTCCAGCCTGGGCGACAGAGCGAGACTCCGTCTCAAAAAAAGCCAGGCGTGGTAGTCACCTATAGTCCCAGCTACTCGGGAGGCTGAGGCATGAAAATCGCTTGAACCCGGAAGGCAGAGGTTGCAGTGAGCCAGGATCATGCACTGTACTCCAGCCTGGGCAACAGAGCAAGACTCCAACTCAAAAAAAAAAAAAAAAAAAAAAGAGTTCAGACAGGATCTGGCCACAGCAAGTACTTAGTGGATGATCATTATTATCAATATTTTGAATTCTGTGTCCTGGGATACAGGCTGGGAGGAGGAATTGGGGAGGCAGGTGCCCCACACCCCTCCAGGCCAGGCTTTATCTGTGTCAAGGGTACTTCCCAGCTCCAAGCCTTTGCTTCTGCCTGGGACACCACTGTTCTAAGTCCTGTCTGCCAGCACCCACTCAATGTGACCTCCTGGGAAGCTCTTCCTGATGCTCCCAACAGCATTGCCCAATGCAAACCTACCTAAAACTATTGTGGTGATGGATGCACAGCCCTGGGAATACACAAAAGCCCACTGAACTGTACAGTTTAAATAGGTAAGTTGTATAGCTCAATAAAGCTGTTACCCCAAACAAAACAAAGAGCATGCGCCATACTTACACCACATTTACTAAATCCTCAGTGTATGTTAACATGCCAATCTTTACCAAAGAGAATAATGACAATAACCATTTACTGAACTCTTGCATGCTAGAACCTGCTAAGCATTTTCCATTTATTTTTTGCATTTAATGCTGACACATCCCGGTGCAGGAGACACTAATCATTATTCCTATTTTATAGAGGGGGAAACTGAGGCTGAAGAATGTGAGAAGGGAGCTGATGGTTCTCTCTCCACACCCCACCCCTGCACTTGTAAGCACGCAAAAGGCTGCTCTGTAAGCTGCTGACATTTGGCAAGGCTGCGGGGCTACACCAGCAAAGCCAGGTGGCTGGGGATGCTGACTCGGCAGAGCGACGCCCCCGCGCCACCCCAACCCCACGCCCCGGCCCGGCCTCTCCGCTAAGCCAAGCCGGCCAAGCTCAACCCTGCCTCCCTCAGGTGCCTCGGTCTCCCCCCAGGACTGAAGGAAGTGGTGGAGCAAGGCCCACAAGGACGAGTGTCCCCGAAGCTGCCTCAATTTCCCCATCTGTAAAAGGGGACTGGTGACCCGCAGCTCTTATGGAGCTGGCGACCGGCTCGCGGGTGCTCGCCCTGCATCCGAGACAGCACCTACAACTCCGGACCCACTCGGGGCGGAATGGGGTGGGTTCTTTGTTCCCTTCCAAGACCCCATCCCGATTCCCCTTCCCGGGAGGGCAGCCCTGAAAAAGCAAGGTTGCTCCAGCAGCCCCCTCGGGTCACCTGCTTCCCCGAAGCCATCCTCCTCGCCTTCCGCTCCCGCCTCCACCGGCATCCCCAGGTCCCCGTTGGGGCCCGACATTGCGGGCTCGGGCGCCCGAAGGGCCGCGAGACGATGGAACGCGGCGACCGTCGCGCCGAAAGCCGGCGCCGGATGGAAGGTGGAGGCGGTGGATAGAACACCGGGCCGGAAGGGTGGAACGCGGCAGCAGATCTCCGCCCAGAGGCCGGGGCCCCACCCCTGAAGCCGGAATCCCGCAGATCTCGCTCCGCCCCGCCCCGCCCCCCAGCCGGAACTCCGCCCCCGCCCCACGTCCAGACTCCGCCCCCACCGCCGGAGTCCCACCTCCACCTGCCTCACGGTCGAACTCCGCCCATTCCGCCGCCGGCCTCGCCAGTCTCCTGGGCGCTGGGTGGGGCCACCACGGTGCTGCCCCTGGAAAAGCCCAGGAGTAGGGAGGTCCAGGAGGAGGGGCGGGAGACCTCCCAAGCCCATCTGCTGCTTCGACCCCTCCGCCTGGGCGAAATCGAAAACGGGTTTCCTTGTTATTTTTTGAGATAGGGTCTGGCTCTGTCTTCCAGGCTGGAATGCAGTGGGGTGATCTCGGCTCACTGCAACCTCTGTCTCCCAGCCTGAAGCGATCCTGCCACCTCAGCCTCCAGAGTAGCTGGACTACAGGCGGGTGCACCACGCCGGCTATTGTATTTTTTGGAGACGGGGGTTTCGCCGTGTTGCCCAGGCTGCTCTCGAACTCCTGAGCTCGAGCCATCCACCCGCCTCGGCCTCCCACAATGCTGGGGTTACCGGCATGAGCTACTGGGCCCAGCCTTGGAAACGGGGTTTCCATACCTCCTGTGGCTTCAGGACATTCCTCTTCACAGCCTCGCTGAGAGTCACGAAGGGTCTCCTTCCTCCTCGCCTCTCTGCCTGCACCCCAATGGAGAGGATCCAACACCCCTACCCCTGGATCTGGGCCTTCCTGGTCTTCAGCGCTTCTCTTAGGGCTCATTGGTTACAACCTGTGGGTGGGAATCAGGCTGGACTCCAGCTCTGGACAAGAGAAACAGGAACATTAGGCGGGATGGCTCCCACCTGTAATCCCAGCGCTTTGGGAGGCCGAGATGAGAGGATTGCTTGAGCCTAGGAGTTGGAGACCAGCCTGGGAAACATAGTGAGACTCAGCCCCCGTCTCTACAGAAAGTACAAAAAAAATTAGCCAGACCTGGTGGCATGCACCTTAGTCGCAGCTGCTTGGGAGGCTAAGGCAGGAGGATCACTTGGGCCCAGGAGTTCGAGGCTGCAGTGAGCTATGACTGCACCACTGCACTATAGCCTGGGTGACAGAGTGAGACTCTGTCTTTAAAAATAATAATTAATTAATTTTTAAAAAGTTTAATTAGCCAGGTTTGGTTGGCACACCCCTATAGTTGCAGCTACTCAGGAGGCTGAGGCAGGAGAATCACTTGAACCGGGAGGCAGAAGTTGCAGTGACCAGAGATAGTGCCCTTGCACTCCAGCCTGGGTGACAGGGTGATACTTCATCTCAAAAAATAAAAATAAAAAAAATTAAATGTGAGGCCGGGTGCAGTGGCTCATGCCTGTAATCTCAGCACTTTGGGAGGCTGAGGCAGGCGGATCACGAGGTCAGGAGTTTGAGACCAGCCTGACCAATATGGCGAAACCCCATTTCTACTAAAAATACAAAAATAAACCGGGTGTGGTGGCGTGCGCCTGTAATCCCAGCTACTCAGGAAGCTGAGGCAGGAGAATCACTTGAACTCGGGAGGCAGAGGTTGCAGTGAGCTGAGATTGCACCACTGCACTCCAGCCTGGACAACAAAGAGAAACTCCGTCTCAAAAAAAAAAAAAAAGAAAGTTTGGCCTGGAGCAGACCTACCTTTGTTTGTTTGTTGTTTGTTTGTTTTGAGACAGAGTCTCTCTCTGTTGCCCAGGCTGGAGTGCAGTGGCATGATCTCAGCTCACTGCAACTTCTCCTCCCCGGGTTCAAGCAATTCTTGTGCCTCAGCCTCCTGAGTAGCTGGGATTACAGGTGCATGCCACCACACCCGACTGATTTTTTTTTATTTTTAGTAGAGTTGGGGTTTCACCATGTTGCCCCGGCTGGTCTCAAATTCCTGACTTCAGGTGATCCACCTGCCTCGGCTTCCCAAGGTGCTGGGATTACAGGTGTGAGCCACCGTGCCCGTCCTGGACCTACCTTTTTTGTTTTTGTTTTTGAGACGGAGTCTTACCCTGTTGCCAGGCTGGAGTACAATGATCTTGGGTCACTGCAACCTCCACCTCCCAGGTTCAAGCAATTCTCCTGCCTCAGCCTCCAGAGTAGCTGGGACTACAGGTGCGCACCGCCACGCCCAGCTAATTTTTGTACTTTTAGTAGAGACAGGGTTTCACAATGTTGGCCAGGATGGTCTCGATCTCTTGACCTCGTGATCCGCCCGCCTCGGCCTCCCAAAGTGCTGGGATTACAGGCGTGAGCCAACGCGCCTGGCCCGTGGAGCTACCTTTATAAGTTGAACTTTGAGAAGTCAAAGAGAAAAAAAAATTAAATTAAAGTTTAAATTTTTTTTTTTTTTTTGGAGATAGAGTCTCCCTCTGTCGCCCAGGCTAGAGTGCAGTGGTGCGATGTCGGCTCACTGCAACCTCTGCATCCTGGGTTCAAGCAATTTTCCTGCCTCAGCCTCCCGAGTAGCTGGGATTACAGGTGTGTGCTACCATGCCTGGCTAATTTTTGTATTTTTAGTTTCACCATGTTGGCCAGGCTGGTCTCGAGCTCCTGACCTCAGGTGATCCACCCGCCTCGGCCCCACAAAGTTATAGGTGTAAACCACCATGCCTGGCTAGATTTAATTTTTTTTTTAAATAAAGAGAAGTAGGAATAGTTCATTTTAGGAAGAGCCCCTTAACTGGGACAGGAGCAGGACAGGGGTGAGGCTACCCTTAGTTCAAGCTCACCTCAAACCCACCCAGGACTGTGTGTCACATTCTCCAATAAAGGAAAGGTTTGCCGCCCCCTCCTGTGGGTGCTGCAGTGGAGGGTGGAGGGCCGTGGGCAGAGTGCTTCACAGACTGCTCATCAAGAAAGGCTTCATGATAATCGGCCCAGCTGCTGTCATCCCACACTCCACTTCCCAGCTAGGCGAGGGCGGCTTGCCCACAGTCACCCAGCTGGCAAGTGTCACCCCTGGGTTGGACCCAGAGCTATAATCCTGACCAGGGGTCCAGCTGAGAATTAGGCCCACGTTCTAGGCAGAGGGGTCACCTACTGGGACTCCAGTAGCTATAGTGCATGGAGGTCTCATGGCTGCAGCAGCCTGGACCT